TGTTTTTATATATCCTGTCTCCTGTTTTTAATTTACTTTATGCATTTCTGTCTCAATATGCAAATAAGGTGGGTGGTCCTTCTGGGGTTAGCTCCTCTCCTATTGGTCAATAGACAGGAAGGAGTAGGATGCATGTGCAGATCGACTGCATGCTTGCACTGTCTTAGTTTAGCTTAAAGTTTAAACTTTAGTTTGAAACATAGACAAAGAGGAAATTATTCACCTAGGCCTTATGTTGCCTGTTTTAAACTAAACTTTAAACTAAAGTGAGTTAGCACTAGCATGCACGATCAATCTTTACACAGATACTGTTTCTTATTGGGCCATTTATATCTCTGCTTTTAATTTTAATTATGTCAGTTTTTGTCCTCCTTAAAACGGTTTATGGGATCATACTGAATATTTCATATTTGGTTTTAGTAGTTCTGCAGAGGTCTTCTATTTTATATCAAGTTGTTTGACATTTGTAACTTTTTTTTGTACCTGTACTGAACCATGTACACTGCTGGTATTTAGACACTTAAACTAAAATAAACTGGAGTCCTGGTATTGTTTGAAGTTTTCTTAGAGTAACCAGTATTTTTGTTGCCACATTAAAGCCTGGCTTTATATAAATGTTCTGTAACAATCTGTTTTTCTCTGTTTGTTAGAGGAGGATCCAACACACTCTGAGGACAAACGCATTTTAACAGGTAAATCATAATTCAAAATGTACAGTTGAAACCATAGGTTTACATACACTACTGTATATAAAAATACACATATGTGTTTTTTTTCACACTGTCTGATGTGAAATCAGAAAAAACTGTTCCTGTTTTAGGTCATTTAGGATTGTGTTAAACTTCTGGTTTCAACAGTTGTTTTTTTGTATTGAAAATATATCTGTTGTAATAAAAACAACTTGTTTTGTTTTTGACAGATTTGGAAAGTAATAAAGAAATAAACTTTGGTAGGTAAGTCTGTTCAGACACAGAGATAAATCTGATTAAACACTCAAAGAATAATCCCACATTGAGTTTTATCTATGAACCAAAACATGAGAGAAAAACCTTCAATGAGCAGAAAAGACTGATGAACAATGAGTCGGTCTTTATCTGACGTGTTACCAGTCTGCCTTGTGATGACACACCTTCAGTAACACAAACTCCACCACATTAAAGTGTCTGTGACATGCACCGCCATGAAATACAAAAAGTCAAAGAAATAGATTTATATTTAAGAAACTGAATACATGAGATTTTACCAGTTATATCACATAATTGGCAAATTTTCTTTTGAATTTGGCTCAGATAAAGTGAAACAGGAAGTGACATCAAAGGGGAACTCTTCAAGAAATAAAACTGTTTTTTGTTTATTTAAACAATATTAGTTGAACTCTGACTGTTCCTCATCTCTCTATGATAGTGATTAAAATAATCTAAAGAAACATTAGGCTCTTGTCTACATCATGTGTTGTTAGCCATCTTAGCAACACTCTGGTCACATGCAGACATTCACATTTGACATCACTTCCTGTTAATTCACATGCAAATATTTACAACTGTTCATCTCAGCAACATGAGACATTTTTTTACAATATGTTATCAGTGTTATCCTTCCAAAAATACATTCATTTTTATTACAAAAAATGATGTCACAGGCTCTTTAAGGTGGCAATTCAGGGAGAAGTTAAAACGTTTTTATTTTAATGCAATTTTTCCTTCTTTGCTGCAGTGTTACCTGATGGCCTCTATGATCCATGACAGACAGTACACACTGACAGACAGTACACACTGACAGACAGTACACACTGACATACAGTACACACTGACATACAGTACACACTGACANACAGTACACACTGACATACAGTACACACTGACAGACAGTACACACTGACAGACAGTACACACTGACGTACAGTACACACTGATATACAGTACACACTGACGTACAGTACACACTGATATACAGTACACACTGACATACAGTTGTAGGAAATGTGACTTATGTAAAATAAGCCCACCTCTACATCTTCCCATAACAAAGTTATGAGAGGAATTTTTACCAAGGTTTTTCTCATTACTTTAATATTTGTCTGTGCAAAGTGAAGAGTAACACAATGAGGGAACGTCAGACGAGTTCAAGTTGATTCATAAAAGATTCTGCAATCATTTATTTACACAAATTGAACAAATCATAAGTTACACCTGATTGTGGCTATTTATAACAAGCGTCAAAGTTAAATGAGATAAAAACCCGCGTCCGAATTTCAATTCACATTAAACTCAGATTACTTATATATAGACAGTAAAACGTCAGCTCTGATGTTAAAACCAAACAATTCTACTGGCACTTTAACTTAGGGTTGGCAAAGAAAGGATAAGAAAAGGGATGAAAATTAAAGATTAGTGTTTCTGCTTTTATTTTGGTAAGGGTGTCTGTGACAACCGGATTAGCACTTCCTCTCTGCGCTCAGAACTTCACATGACACGTCACCACGAACACGTCAGCTTTACCTGGTGATGTCTTCTTAAGGCACCCCTCAGTATGAACTGTCTCACCCCGACCATCCAGGAAGCTTGTACCCGCTGGTCCTTGGCGAGTAGGTGTTTTTCAGGTGACTTTTAGTCTGTTTCAGCCCAGGCTAGAAAGATTCCAGCTGAAAGTTCCGGTCGTCCTTCAAAATAAAAGTTCTCCCCGCGGGAGGTAAAACACTCTAAGAGACTTGCGTCTCCGGGTGGACAGAAGGCGGCTTGCTTCTGTCCTGGCCGGCAAGTCTACTCGATTTGGCTCCTGAGTCAGACCTGCGGCCCGGCTGTTCTCCGGAGAGAAGAAGCCGGTCTTCCCGTTTCGACATTCAGGAAGAAGAGTCTTGTGTATCACTCCAAGACGTCCGTGTTAGTACAGAGAGTCGGACGCCTTGGATCCGCCCTCAGGCGTTAGCATGAGTCAGAAAGGAAAGAGAGATAAAGACTTTGCCAGAGGCGCCAGTGCAAGGACACATTCCGTAGTTGGTTTCACAGAATGATAATATCTTCTGGCTTTCTTTCTGATAGACTCTAAGAGAAATCACTGTAAAACATTTATGATGATTAATTAACATTTCTGTTAAAATAATCAGTCTGAACTTGGTGTCCAGATAAATGTAAGATTTTCTTAAGAAAAACTCTGAATTATATTACTGATGTTTCCAGTAAAACAAAACAGTGATTTATATAAAAACACAATGAAAACATGGTGATGATTTTCTGTGATTTTATACCATTAATTAATCTTTTAGGCACGATAAAAGAGTAGAAGTGATTCTTCCTTTCTTTGTGACATGTCATTATTATGATTAACAAATGCATAAACATTCTTAGTTAAACAACCAATGAATCACGAACAGAAAAGATTGTTTCTGTTTAATATCTGATTAAGAGAACTGAAGTCCTCTTTCTAGGTTGAAATGACCCATCATGGCCTAAAATAGAGTTCAGTGTTCCTGCCTTCTGTCAGGCCTGTCCGAGACCTGCTTTGAGGCAGTAACTCCTGTTTCTTCACTCGAGGTGACCCCTACACTGTACACACTGACACACAGTACACACTGACACACAGTACACACTGACAGACAGTACAGTAGTAGATGTGTTTATCTGTCTGTTTACAGTTCTTAGAACTGAGCACACTTGTTTTACTCATGACAAACAGAGATGAGCTGAATTGTTAAATTAATTAATAAAAATGTTTGCATTTGGTTCTGATCACAGGCAGGACCAAGTCATTGTTTTGCAAGCAATGTTGTATAAAAGTACCTCAGTGATACTTGAGTAAAAGTACAAGTATCTTATCATAAAAATACTTTGGTAAAAGTTAAAGTCTTCTCTAAAAATATTACTTGAGTAAAAGTACAAGTATCTTATCATAAAATACTTTGGTAAAAGTTAAAGTCTTCTCTAAAAATATTACTTGAGTAAAAGTCTTAAAGTATCTGATATTTTTTGTACTTAAGTATCAAAAGTAAATTTCTGACACAAAATCTACTTAAGTATTAAAAGTAAAAGTACTGAGTAAAAGTGAGCAGTTAGATTTTACAAAATGACATTTATTGGGAGGTGACTTCTCCAAAAACTATATTTTCTAACAGCGTGCAGCTGTGATGGGTTGTGTACAAGCTAATAGTGTGTCAGAATGGTATATATTTATACTTCTCATCCAAACACAATTAAATTCACTCTATAGGAGACACAGTTTATCAGGAGAGGAGTTTTATAAGTAACAACTCAGAATAAAACAGGAGTAACAACTTTCTACTTCTTACCTTTTTAACAAATGTAGTGAGTAGAAAGTACAGATAATTGTGTGAAAATGTAATGAGTAAAAGTAAAAAGTACGCTGAAAAATAATTACTCAAGTAAAGTACAGATAACCAAAAATTCTACTTAAGTACAGTAACAAAGTATTTGTACTTAGTTGCTTTACAACTTTGATTGCAAGTCTCAATTAAATCTTTACCCTCAAGAACTGAGTCAAGTCTCAAACAAAGACAGGCAGCTGTCAAGTCAAGTCCCAAGTCTGAAACTTGGAAATTCACGTCTTTTTTAAAACAATTTGCAGTAAAATGTTACATAAATAATGAAACGTGTGCTCTCTCTTGAATATGTTAACAAACTGTGATGAAACTACATTTTGAAATTGCACCTTTTCATTGCAGTTCAATGAAACTTAGCTGCTAAGTAATCTTCTTTTAAACTATACTTTTTCATTTTCTAAGCTCTGATGAATTTGATTTGCTGTGCTGCAGCTCACACTCACATCCTGTACGTACAGAGTGTGGAAAAAGATGGACTCTGCCTTTAATACGTAATGAGTGAAATTAACTAATGGGTCCTACTTTATAAATAATCTGTGTTAAACTATAGATTTTGGGTAAAATATCAAGTCTTTTCAAGTGAACAGGTTCAAGTCAAATTCAAGTCCCAAGTCATTGGTGTAAAAGTCCAAGTCAAGTCACAAGTCTTTTAACATCTTGTCAAGTGTAAAGTCCTAATAATGACTCCAGTTTGATTCGAGTCCAAGTCATGTGACCTGGGTCCCCTGCTGTTGTTCTGATTCATGTAATACTTTTGTTTAACATTGATAAGTAAATAAAAACTCATGTTTTCTCTTCAGACGAGGCTGACTGTGACGTGACTGATGGATTCTATCTTGGTAAGACTAATTTTATTCTCACACTTTAACATATTTAGTTTAAAGAAAATCTGTGCACATCTGGTCCCAAATGCATGCCAACCACTTCAAACTTTTACTCGTATCTTGACTCTCAGAAATTAGTAATTTTCACACAAAAAATCCATATTAGTCACATGTGATCAGGTGATCACATGTGATCCAACAGGAGGGTTGACAAGCAGACTGTTGACTGTGAGGTGAGTGGCTGACAGGTGGCAAACATTTCTTCTAGTGGCACAGTGGCTTGTGAGGTTGTTGTTGTTGTTTTGTTTTATTTTTTTCTTCTTCATACAAGCTCTGAGTCAAAAATGATGTAATAGAGTTTTTAAAGGGGCTATATCATGTAAAATCAACTTTTTAAAGTTTTATATCATGTTATAATGTTCTCCTCTCATCAACAACATGTCCAGAGTCTGACTCTGACTCATTCATCATGTTTGATAAATCCTGTAGAGTCCTGAGGCAGCAGGCAGGGGGGCAGAAACCACTGGTTGGGACCAGAACCAACTTTTAGGACCAGCTCCTCCTCTGGGCTGTGTCTCCAAACTGAGCTGCCTCACCACAGAGCACACCTCCCCACCCCGCCGTGACTCCTGCAGACTCTCAGCAGCAACAAAGCAAACGTGTGAAAGTGAAAGTGAAACCTAACTGTCTGCTGAGCTCTCAACATTASTTCTSRYTCAGTGAAGCTCTTTTCAGATTAAAAATACCTTTGAAGAAATGTATTGTCAGATGCTAAGTAAACTGCATCATAGCGCGCGCGACCCCCCCCACCCCCACCCCGCGCGAGCTGAAATGGGCATGACAGAAGCAGAAGGTGGTTCTTAAAGAGACAGAGGCCAATCTCAAGGCGTTTAAAAGAGGAAGTGATGAGAAGATAAGTTTATTTTCTATTTAAACATAAAAACAGCATTTTAATAACAGCTAAAGGTGACATAGATACTTTATTATGGTATAGTATTTAAATATATGCCTGAGAAACACTGAATATTGACCCTTTAATAAAACTGTGAGATCTGTATGGACTGTCAGGAGCATGACACTTTGAACATGCTTGTCCAGTCTGCTCAGTATGATTAACAGACGGTCAAACTGCCACATTACATGTAGGTCAGCTCATTAAATGTGTCTTCTAATAACATCTAGTGAAGAACCAAAACACTCTGGAAGAGACTGTGTTGACTGCATTTAAACAAATTAAAATCACATTAAAATTTGAACTTTGATGACTTTTATGTTTCTAATTCAACACATATAAATGTTTTTGATCCTATTCAGCTGGTTTCCGTCGAAGTTTCCGTCTCTGGAGGAAAACATGCTACAAAAAGAGGCGTCAGTCCTGCACCTCCTGCTCTCCCACCACCAACGCTCTGTGCTCCCCCTATGAGGAGGTGGCTTTGTACCAGCGCCTCCCACAGGAAATCCACCGCCTGATCATCCTCATTGGTTAGTGAAAATTATAAATAACTGAGGAATTGTTAAAAACTGTCCACTTTACTTACCTGAAACTAAATATCACAAAATTGATATAAGTAAAAACTAAACAACTTAAATTCTACTCCTAAAAGGTGCTCAGCTCAGATTAAAATGTACAGATTTTCAAGTCATATTTTGATTTAATACAGATAAAAATCCAGTTTAATCCATTTCATTCCTGTATAGTTTAATTTATACGATGTCAGCTAGCAAAATAATTTATGAAAAACTCCCAACAGTTATGACTGAACCAGTGGTCAACAGTAGAGATTTCTAACAGAACAAGACTCAGAATTAGGAGAAAAACCTTGGAGCAACTTGGGAAGACCCTGGTAGAACAACTAAAGGGATTATTCAGGAAAAAAATGTTAGTAAATTTTGAAACTGTTACGTCTAAAACTGGACATATCAAACATTTTGAAGTAGGGTTTTACTGAAAAGTTATGAACAGATACATTGCATATAAAAGTATTCAGACCCTTGAATGTTATGTTTTATTGCTGTTAGAAATCAATCATGGTAAAAAGAAATTGGTTTCTTTACAAAAAAAATGGGAGAAAAAGACCCTTAAATGTCAAAGTGAAATTAAATTTTTACAGCGTGACTACAAAAATCTCATTATATGGTATCTTTATATGAGTATTTGCATACTGTACATGTACACCCAGTATATAGAATAGTTAATTCATGAGTACATTTAGATTTTTATTACTGTGTCTGTATACGACCCACAGGAGACACAACATTAAAAGCAGTAGTTATTTCATTCCTTGGCTTTAACAGGTCTGATGCTGCTAAAAATAACAGATTTTCTTTTCTTGATCTCAGAGAGCAGGACTTTAATCTTCAAACTCGTAAAGTTCTTCTTTTTACTTTTTGCTGTAATTTTCATGAATAGACACTTGCTGATATCTGAGGCAGGAAACACAGCCTTATATGGTGTTTTTGGGGTGGTAATTATGCTAATCTCCTCTCACGTGCACGAGCAGCTGGATAGAACAGGTGAATTTACGCAGCTCATTTACACACTTTTCCTGAAGATAGAAGAGTTTGTTGAATCTGACGTGACATGTTCGTACGAACCCTTTGTACGAACAAAAGTAAGAGAAATTTAGGAGAAGAATACGAACATGTTCTTGCAGAGGCCCAATGTGTTTAACACAAGTTTAATTACACAACATTGGCAAGCTACCTACCAACAACATGCTAATAAAATGCTTAAATTAGTTGACCCTTTTCTGTCTGTCACTCTGCCCTCTCACCTTCAGCATTGGTTCAACATTTGGCAGTTTTTTGAGTTTTGTATAGTCCAACATTGTTTTGTCACAAATAAAACTAAATAAGATAACGTGTGTATATTATGATCTCGCCCACATCAAGGCTGCACTCTGCTCAACCCAAACACAACCCGGGCCAGAGTAAAGTAAGGCCAGGTCGTCTGGAGCTGGAGCAGGCTGAAGCAGGCTTTACAATGCAAAAACACCTTGTGTGAGACAAAGTGGGAAGACTCGGCGAGAGCAGAGCTAAAGGAGTATATTGGAGGCCTAAGGCTGGGTTATAGTCATGCTTTGAGTTATTGCGGAAGCTCCGTGGAGTGCGCCCGCTCCTGAGCCGCGTGCTGTGTGAAAACATAGTTGACGTTTGTTATGCCCTTCAATTATGTTAAGAGTAATAAGGCTTTTATTTTGAAGGTCAAGGTAGGACTTGGACAGGAAGTCAACCGTTTTGTTAGGTTCCATTTTGTTTTAAACTGTCACATGTGAGGAGGTGAATCGGTTGCAATCAGCCTTTTGTTTACGCCATCGACATCACCGTCTGTAAGTTTTCATTTAATATTTAAGAGTAGATTTTATTTAGTGTCTTATTTGTTAAGAATGTGTATTTCGTTTGAACTCTTTTGTACTCATAGTAAATGCAGCTGTTTTGTTTATGTTACAGTTTACTCCATGTTGTATGAGTGCTTGGGTCACCAGTATAAAGCAGAAGAAACCTGTATCCTGATTCAAATGTTCATTTAAATGGAGTTAAGCTTACTGCTGAATTGCATTGTTAAACACACAAGGAGAGCAGAATAGTAAAAGACGGTGCGCAGTTGGCTGAACAGCATTAAAGCAGCTACATTAACAGATATGGAAGAAGCACAGCTCGAAGGAGCAAGACCAAAAGACATGAAGTCTTTTCAAGATGGAGCGTCAATTAAAAGCAGTAAAAGTGCTGGTTCCAGTTCAAAACGCTCAAGCACGTCATCAGTTGGTGCAGCAGCGGCATGCGCTAGGGCCAAAGCCGAAGCAGCTCGTGCACATGTTTCATTCGTCCAGAGAGAGATTAGCATTAAAGTTGACAAAGCTAGACTAGAAGCTAGTCTCGAAGCTCTTAATCTTGAAAAAGAAGCTGCAGCTGCTATTGCTCAAGCCAAAGTTTTGGAAGCGGCAGCAGATTTAGAGAACGAAGAACACCGTAGTTGGAAAAGTCTTCCCAACGCGGTCCAGACACATGAACGTGTAAATGACTACATCAAAGATCAATTTATGCAGCTTAACCAACACAACGAATCTGTCAATATGTCGCTGATATCAGAGTATCCCATTGAAAATAACCCTCAACTACCAACCAAGGACATCAATAAAGAGGAGTATATTGTGAAAGAATGCTGGCCTCCACCATTTCAACCACAAYGAAGYTCDGAAGCTTCTAATCGATCTCGGACTGCTCACATTWGGACTACACCGGCTYRGCTAGCCRGAGAAAAKGACTTCCCAGTTCAAAGTGAGGTACAGTTACAAGAACCAATGTCCAATATACTTCGGCCAAATACCAAGTTGGCTTTTCCACAGTACTCTGACACTTCCCACACAAAACCGCCAGAGTCTTCAGCAATGATGAACATGGCAAAGTACTTGGCACACAAAGAGCTTGTGAGCACTGGCTTAACACACTTTGATGATCGTCCAGAGTCCTATAGAGCATGGAAATCTGCTTTCTCAAACACCATCAAAGATTTGGATCTCACTGCCAGTGAACAGTTGGATTTAATCTCAAAATGGCTTGGTAAGGAGTCTTCTGCATATGTCAGATGCTTAAGAGCTGTTCATATTGACAACCCAAACATTGCACTAAAAATGACCTGGGAAAGGCTTGATGAATATTATGGTGCTCCAGAAGTCATAGAAAGTGCTCTTTTCAAGAAGTTGGACAACTTTCCTAAAATCACAAACAAAGATAATCGCAAGTTAAGGGAGCTCGGGGATCTGCTGATGGAGCTACTCTCAGCAAAAGAGGATGGCTACTTGCCTGGCTTGGCATACTTGGACACYGCTCGTGGCATCAAACCCATTCTGGAAAAGTTGCCATACAACCTGCAAGAAAAATGGATCACTCAGGGGTCAAAGTATAAAGAGGATTACAAGGTTGGTTACCCACCCTTCTCCTTTTTCACCTCCTTCATTTGCTACCAAGCCAAAACAAGAAACGATCCCAGCTTCGCCCTTTCTGGAAGCAGTTCTGTGACGGAAAATCCTATCTCACATCACAGCAATTTCAGAACCCCAGTCTTAGTGCACAAGACCAATGTCTTCTCTGGAGTGATACAAGAAGAAGTACCACTTAAAGGTGATATGGCCAAACATTGCCCCATCCATAACAAACCTCAGCCCAGCTTCAGCCCAGTTAATGGACTATCTCACAGTTACCACACTGCTGTGGTKGATCACGACTCACTCGGCCTCACAGTCTTTAAGAGAACGGCAGATGATAATAAGCGGGCTTTCTCCATAGAAGACAAACAGTTTCTGCAAATAATGGACAATGARGTTTTTCAGGACGACTCCAATAGTTGGGTGGCTCCACTTCCATTCAAGTCCCCTAGGCCGCCTTTGCCCAATAATCGTGAACAAGCAATGAACCGCCTTTCTTCACTTCGGCGCACATTAGAGCGTAAGCCAAAAATGAAAGATCAGTTTTTTGCCTTTATGCAAAAGATATTTGACAACAACCACGCAGAGATAGCAATCCCACTACAAAAAGGAAAAGAGTGCTGGTACTTGCCAATGTTTGGAGTYTACCATCCGAGGAAACCTGACCAAATCAGGGTTGTCTTCGACTCAAGTGCTCAATACAATGGGATCTCCCTAAACARTGTGCTGCTCAGTGGACCAGACTTGAATAACAGTCTGTTGGGAGTTCTCATCCGTTTCAGAAGAGAACGCGTAGCAGTCATGGCCGACATTGAACAGATGTTTCATTGTTTTGTTGTAAAAGAAGATCACAGAGACTACTTGCGCTTCCTTTGGTACCGAGATAATGACCCCAGTAAGGACATCATTGAATACAGGATGAGGGTTCATGTATTCGGAAACAGCCCTTCTCCCGCCGTGGCAACGTATTGTCTCAGGAGAGCTGCATTGAAGGGAGAGCAACAGTATGGGCCAGACACCAAATGCTTCGTAGAGCGGGAGTTCTACGTCGACGACGGTCTTGTTTCCACACCAACAGAAGAAGAGGCAATTTCTCTGTTACAGAAAACACAAGYATCTCTTTCAGAGTCAAACCTAAGACTTCATAAGATCACATCCAACAGCATCAGAGTTTTAGGAGCCTTTCCGGCTGAAGATCATGCTAAGGGTATTAAAGACCTCTGCTTGGATAAAGATGTAGTACCCACACAGCAAAGCCTTGGATTGAGTTGAGATGTCAAAAGCGATGTATTCACCTTCCAAGTATCCATCAGTGACAAACCATTTACCAGACGCGGTGTCCTTTCCACCATAAACAGTCTCTTCGATCCTCTCGGTTTTGTTGCTCCTGTAAGCATTCAAGGCAAGTCCTTGCTGAGGGAGCTCACCATGGATGGAACGGAATGGGACAGCCCACTCC